TTGGGCCCGGGAAAAAGCATCATATTAGCCAACATCATATTATCGAGGGATCATTATATCGAGAGTTACTGTGTATTTCTTCTAATATAGGTTGCTTTCTACTTGAATGATTTGTTGGCAGTAATGTCGAGATGGATGCAAAGACGTAATAGTAGACCTGTATAGATATTAAAGCTTTTGGCCCCCTGCAACATTAAATGTAATTGCTCATTGGTATTCTCCTAGAGCTGATGTCATTTGTAGGAGGCGACACAATTGAATACGTGTGTCGTCTGTCTTTTTTTTTCTTTTCTTTTCTTCTTTTTGATGAGTAACAAAGTCTGATGTTTTACCTAAATTAGATATCCAACCCAAATTTGAAAAGGAACAGAAACCGAAATATGAAATGAAAAGGAGCCTAGTCACTGACAAGCAAAACTGGCAGTACTCTTTATAAACTGCGACTCACTTTTATTATCAATTAGGAAATTCATGAATAATGGTCCAATTTTGGCAAAAATACAAATTAAGTATGATGGTGTAACGCATTATTTTAACTAACAATTTTGTGACGATACGCAAGAAAGCAATAATTACTTATAATAGTTTAAGCTAATCAAAACGTATGAAATGACGTCAATAAATAAAAGTAAAAGTCTCGGTGAATTTTATTTTTCGATTATCTGAATGACAAAGATTATCGAAATAGATTGCACAACTAGATTTGTATTTGTCTTACACAAACCCGTCTTAACTTTGTTAACTATTCACCTTTATCGACTTCTCTAATAAGTATTACCTCTGGAAGGTCCAACAGAAGTACATTTTTGAAATGATTATAGCTGACGACGCGTTCGATTCGAATAAAACTTTCCGGTGCACATTTTGTTAGTAACCAATGGTAATAATTACAAACCCTATAATATGCGTAAGACGTCTGCAGCATCGGTCTTATTATCTTGGCCAGTTATCCGTTAATTGCTAGTAAGTCTAAGGTATTAAAAAGTTGGGTTTTTTACCAAACAAGAAACCATGCAACACAAGAACAAATTTGAATCGATAGATGAAATTCACCAAAGAGTTGCTGATCCTATGACGCAGTCAGCGTACTACTTCAAAGTGTGAGGGAGGTAATTGAATCCAAGATACTCGACCACTTGGTTTTCCACCGAGAATTAATTCTATATACTCTTTAACTACGAAATTCGGTGAGTAACGCATAAATCTAAACGTACATTATCTAATGTATTTGATAATTATAGAAAGTATGCCGATAATTCAAGGTGCTGAAAAGTTTTGCGCGTGGAACTTTATTTCCAAAAATTTCATAATAATTATCGATACACCTATTTCATTCCCTCAAAATACTCTCCATTAACATCTATGTAACGTTGCAGACGATTTGCCAACTCTGGAAAGACTTCTCATAGTCGGTTTTTGGGCCTTATCAAATCTTTTTCCCTTCGGTTTTTTTTTCTTGATTCGAGGGAATAAGAAAAAATCACAAGGAACACAGTCTGGACTGTATGGCAAAGTTTCATTCGTGTTATGAAAATACTCTGTTATTATCGTTGCCTTAGGTGGTGCGGCATTGTCGTAATAAAGCATAACGTCACAAACAGTTGTTCTTCCCTGGCTCAGCTCATTATGCAAAATGTTTTCAGATTCCGTTGGCTAAATTTTCTAATAAAAATGTGCGGTTATTGCTAACAATATCCTCGACCTTGGCAATTTTTTCTGACGTCACGGCTTCGCGAGAACGTCCAAAACGAGCCTTGTCTTTAATTTCTTCTTCCCCGTCTTTGAATATAGCAATCCAGCGTCTAATTGTGTTGATAGACAATGCTTGTTCCCCTTCTACATTCACCAACTCCTTGTGGATTTGAGTCGCATTTCTGCCATTTTTCCAAGAAGCGAAAATAAAGTATCGTTGGTTCTCACGGCTTATTTTCATCCAGTCGATTTACAAAAAAAAACAATGAGATAATGAATTTCCATCTACTTTTTTCGTTTGTTACATGAAACATACGCATTTGATGATTATTGTTAAACTGATGCAATCTCTAGTTAGAGAGCCACACGCAAAACTTTTCAGCACCCCCACGTAATGTATATTATAAGACCTAGAAATTTTCCAGTCAGAGTCGAAACAGAGAAAAGGTGAGCAATTGACAAAGACCAGTTTATCTAATTATTGTTATTACGCTAAGCATATTATATATGTGTTGTCTACGGACCCGCAGGACCCGCACGGTAATATTCGATTCGGTAAATTTAAACAATCATGTGGTTATAAAAATGTTATTTAACTTTATGCGCGTTTATTTAACATTAAATAATTTCTTACCGTATTGGCGGTGCATGGAGCGGAGCCGTAGGACTTTACGTCATTTATTTAGCAATGTGTTGATATGAAACTCATTATTCTCAATTATTATCTTTATCTATTTAATCGGTCCCTTTCTTTTTATATTCTTCAGGCAGTAAATTCCTAAATCCGTGGGGTTGCGTCCAGTCATACTGTTGTTGTTTCGCTCGAAGAACACGCGTGAGAATTTTTGAATAATTCTCTCCAATGCCATTTCAATCTTCAGTATTACCAACGAATTCATCGTCGCCGCTTCATCAACTATTCATCATTTCGGGAACTCGCATTAGAACAACGCCTGGACGCGCTGGAGTTGCTACCACGTACTTAAGGAATATGTAATCGACCAAACCTACTTGGAAAAATTAAATGATAACGAATACTTAGTGAGTTGTTAGAAAACTGGGTTTGGAGAGACAAAAATAAAAAACAACATTACTAGTATAGTCGATGCTACTCCACCACAGGCTTTTTGGACTTAGGCACATCTGCAAAACAATTCGTTAATTTTTCTTAATCCAACTATTCTGTTGAATTAATTACCGTAATATTTAATCAAGACTTTTATTTAGTAGCCCTCCTTTCTTGGAACCTAAGAAAATAAGGCATAGGTTTATTTTGATAATAAGAGATGTTCTGCAATAAATTACCGTCATCCTCTTTAATGCGCTTATTATTCTAAATTAACAAAGAATATTAATATACTGTAAGCTCTCATGAATAAGAGCCCCCTTTATCATATAAGGGGGGCTCTTATTCATGAGATGTTTGGTCATGGCTTAAAAACTGCAAAATAATCAACAAATCATATGGGGGCTCTTATTAATGAAAGTTTAGGGTATGTATCACTGACATGCATAAAAACTCATTCTAGGAACGTTTATAAAAAATTCCAATTATACACTCTTCAGCTAAAGACTATATTGATATATAGTTGCTTTTCTAATAAGTTTTATTTGGGGGGTAATTACAAATCAGATAAGCCAGCTTATAAAAGTTAGGGAATATTGGACTGGAGAGAAAGAATGGTTCCATTAACAGGTCAATATTTCATCATTCAAATATTTTGGTACAACATACTGTACAAGTGTGAGTTTACAACTTAGCAATAAAGAGATGCCTCCAAGAATTAGCTACATCTTAATTGATGCAATGAATCTAAGCAAGACTACACATTGTCTTAGGATAAAGACTATTAACATTATAGCTATAACTGCCCTTTAGAACTAAATTTTGAACAAAATTTTCTTTCAGGAGCCAATTATAATACTAGTATTTCATACATCTTTATTATTATTATAAAGTTGTTTACTACACTTGCTATTTAATATTCAAAAGAGACAAAATATTTTTTGGTATGTATTGTAAAATTGAATGGGGTAAATGCAGACACATACTGAACAATTAGATATAAAATTGAGCAAATACCATTAATGTAAATGACTGTAAATTGGAAGATAAATTACATATGTCAAATACATCTATTATTATGCAACTATACTAATATTAGATTTGAGCTCTTTCTTGGTAGAAATTGATTACAAACTTAATGTCAAAACCTGTTCCAACATCTTTCTATAATTATAATATCTACTACCCTTAATACTAATTTGCACTAACATATGTGCTTTTTTCATACAACTCAATTAATTCATATTCATTTTTTTTCCATTACCATTGTATAATATACAGAAGGTTGAATTACACTGAGATCATCTTCATAACTGCAGCAAAATTATATTGTGTACTGACATTAACATGTTCTTGTTCAGCTGTTTCATGATATAATTCAACTATCTCTAGTTTATTATTTCTAGTCCAATTCCATCTTAGAGGTTCTATTGTGCAATAAATTTTCTTGTTCAGTGGCTTTTTGATACAATAATAACTCAACTGCTTTCTGTTTGTTTTTTTCCTATTCCAATTCCATCATTACAATGTACAGTAATGTTATATTGGATACATTAGAAGTTATTATTTAGAATTAAAAAAAATGTTTAGGTATATCATTGTTCAGCTATTTAAATTAACCCAACTTCTTTTTGCTCATTCACTTTCCTAGTTACAAAATGCAGCCAGCTTAGATTGTGCAATGGCATGTCCTTGTTCAGCAGCTTTTTGAAAAAACTCAATTGCTTTTTGCTTATTTTTTTCTATGCCAATTCCATTTTTATAATATATAGCAAGGTTATATTGTGCATTGATATGTCCTTGTTCAGCTGCTTTTTGAGTTAACTCTGTTGCTTTTTGCACATTTCTTTCTACTCCAATTCCAAGCTTATAACATGAAGCCAGTTTAAATTGTGCATTGGCATCTCCCTGTTCAGCAGCTTTTTGATATAACTCAATGGCTTTTTCTTCATTTTTTTCTACTCCAGTTCCATTTTTATGATATGTAGCAAGGTTATATAGTGCATTGGCATGCCCTTGTTCAGCTGCTTTTTGAGTTAACTCAACTGCTTTCTGCTCACTTTTTTCTACTCCAAGTCCAACTTTATAATATGCAGCCAGCTTAAATTGAGCACAGGCATTTCCTTGATCAGCTGCTTTTTGAATAAAGTCAACTGCTTTTTTCTTGTCTTTTTCTACACCAATTCCATCTTTATAACATAGAGCAAGATTATACTGTGCACTGGCATGTCCTTGTTCAGCTGCTTTTTGATATAACTCCACTGCTTTTTGTTCATCCTTTTCTACTCCAATCCCATCTTTATAACATAGAGCAAGGTTATATTGTGCACTGGCATGTCCTTGTTCAGCTGTTTTTTGATATAGCTCAACTGCTTTCTGTTCATCACTTCCAACTTCAACTTCATTAGATTGCACACTGTCATCTCCTTGTTCAGTCACTTTTTGTTCACTTTCTGCTCCAATTTCATTAGATTGCACATTGTTATCTTCTTGTTCAGCTGTTTTTTGATATAACTCAGCTGCTTTCTGTTCATCATTTTCTATTCCAATTTCATTATATTGCACACTGTCATCTCCTTGTTTAGTTACTTTTTGTTCACTTTCTACTCCAATTTCAATAGATTGCATACTGGTATCTCCTTGTTCAGCTACTTGTTCATCATTTTCTATTCCAATTTCAATAGATTGCACATTGTTATCTTCTTGTTCAGCTGTTTTTTGATATAACTCAGCTGCTTTCTGTTCATCATTTTCTACTCTAATTTCATTAGATTGCATACTGGTATCTTCTTGTTCAGCTACTTGTTCATTTTCTACTCCAATTTCAATAGATTGCATATTGTTGTCTTCATTTTCTACTCCAATTTCAATAGATTGCACATTGTTATCTTCTTGTTCAGCCATTTTTTGAAGTAGCTCAGCTGCTTTCTGTTCATCATTTTCTACTCCAATTTCATTAGATTGCATACTGGTATCTCCTTGTTCAGCTACTTGTTCATTTTCTACTCCAATTTCAATAGATTGCACATTGTTGTCTTCATTTTCTACTCCAATTTCAATAGATTGCACATTGTTATCTTCTTGTTCAGCTGCTTTTTGAAGTAGCTCAGCTGCTTTCTGTTCATCATTTTCTAATCCAATTTCATTATATTGCACTTGTTCAACTACTTCTTGTTCAGCTACTCCTTGTGCATCTGTTTTTTGAAGTAGCTCAACTGCTTTCTGCTCATTGATTTCTGCACCAATTTCATTAGATTGTACACTGGCATCCCCTTGTTCAGCTACTTCTTGTTCATCACTTTCTGCACCAATTTCATTAGATTGCACATTGTCATCTTCTTGTTCAGCTGTTTTTTGATATAACTCAGCTGCTTTCTGTTTATTACTTTCTACTTCAATTTCATTCAATTGTACACTATCATCTCTTTGTTCAGCTACTTCTTGTTCATCACTTTTGACTTCAATTTCATTAGATTGTACACTATCATCTTCTTGTTCAGCTGTTTTTTGATGTAGCTCAACTGCTTTCTGTTCATTGCTTTCTACTTCAATTTCATTAGATTGCACACTGTCATCTCTTTGTTTAGCTACTTGTTCATCATCTTCTACTCCAATTTCACTATTTTGATCTAACTCAACTGCTTCCTGTTCATAACTTTCTACTCTAATTCCATTATATTGTGCAGTGTCATCTCCTTGTTCAACTATATTTTGAAATAACTTAAAAGCTTCCCACACAATGGCATCTTCTTGTTCAACTGTATTTTGATCTAACTCAACTGCTTCCTGTTCATGACTTTCTACTCCAATTTCATTATATTGTGCAGTGTCTTCTTGTTCAACTATATTTTGAAATAACTTAAAAGCTTCCCACATGATGGCATCTCCTTGGTCAACTGTATTTTGATCTAACTCAACTGCTTCCTGATCATAACTTTCTACTTCAATTTCATTATATTGTGCAGTGTCATCTTGTTCAACTGTATTTTGATATAACTCAACAACTTCCTGTTTATCACTTTGTACTTCAATTTCATTAGATTGCACACTGTCATCTCTTTGTTCAGCTACTTCTTGTTCATCACTTTTTTGATATAATTCAGCTGCCTTCTGTTCATCACTTTTTACTTCAATTTCATTAGATTGCACACTGTCATCTCTTTGTTCAGCTACTTGTTCACCATCTTCACTATTTTGATCTAACTCAACTGCTTCTTGTTCATCATTTTCTACTCCAATTTCACTATATTGCATACTGTCATCTCCTTGTTCATCTGTATTTTGATATAATCCAAAAGCTCCCTTTTCATAACTTTCTACTCCAATTTCATATGGCACACTGTTATCTCCTTGTTCAGCTATTTCTTGTTCATAACTTTCTACTTCAATTTCATTAGATTGCACACTGCCATCTCCTTGTTCAGCTACTTCTTGTTCATCTCCAATTTCACTATATTGTACATTGTCATCCCCTTGTTCAACTGTATCTTGATATAATTCAAAAGCTTCCTGTTCATTATTTTCTACTCCAATCCTATTATATTGCACTTGTTCAGTCACTTCTTGTTCACCACTTTCTATTTCAATTTCATTAGATTGTACACTGGTATCTTCTTGTTCAACTGTTTTTTGATATAACTCAGCTGCTTTCTGTTCATTGCTTTCTATTTCAATTTCATTAGATTGCACACTATCATCTTCTTGTTCACCACTTTCTATTTCAATTTCATTAGATTGCACACTATCATCTTCTTGTTCACCACTTTCTGCTTCAATTTCATTAGATTGCACACTATCATCTTCTTGTTCACCACTTTCTACTTCAATTTCATTACTTTCTAGTCCAATTCCATTAAATTGTGTATAGTCATCTCCTTCAGCTGCTTTTTGATATAACTCAATTGCTTCTAGTTCATCTTTTTCTCCAATTTCATCTTCATAACATATAGCAAGGCTATATCGTGTATTGATATGTTTTTGTTCATCACTTTCTGCTTCAATTCCATTAAATTGTTCACTAGCATGTCCTTGTTCAGCAACTTTTTGTTTATTACTTTCTACTTGTTCTGCA